TTTTTATTAAATGATAGCTGTGTACATTAATGTATCATGGGGTACAGTGTGGTGTTTTCACATACAATTCGAAATATTTTCATCAAACTGTTTAACAGCCTTTATGTCATTTTCTTAGTTATTGTGTTAAGACGTTTATATTCTACTTTTAGAAAGATTCACTTGTACCCTTGTAAGATAAACCATAGAGGTGATCCTTCCAATCACCTTCCCTCCACCCATCCACCCATCTCCCCTGCTCCTCCCTCCCCATGTTCTTAGGCTATAATTAGGTTGTAGCTTTCATATGAAAGCTATAAATTAGTTTCATAATAGGGCTGTGTACATTGGACACTTTTTCTTCCATTCTTGTGATACTTTGCTAAGAAGAACATTTTCCAGCTCCATCCATGTAAACATGAAGGAGGTAAAGTCTTCAACTTTCTTTATGGCTGCATAGTATTCCATGGTGTACATATACCACAGTTTATTGATCCATTTGTAGATCGATGGGCACTTGGGCTTCTTCCATGACCTGGCAATTATGAATTGGACTGCAATAAACATTGTGATACAGATATCTTTGTTATAATGTGGTTTTTGGTCTTCTGGATATACCTAATAAAGGAATTGCAGGGTCAAATGGCAGGTCTATTTTTAGTTTTCTAAGTGTTCTCCAGAACTTTTTCCAAAAGGAATGTATTAGTTTGCGTTCCCACCAGCAGTGTTCCCCTTTTCTCCACATCCATATCTCCAAGTTTTGATAGCTCATGGCCTCATTGTCATTTTGTTCGAAGAATCTAACGTTTCCTTCTTTTTTTTTTTTTTTTTTTTTTTTTTGAGACAGAGCCTCAAGCTGTCCCCCTGGGTAGAGTGCCGTGGCATTACAGCTCACAGCAACCTCCAACTCCTGGGCTCAAGCGAGTCTCCTGCCTCCGCCTCCCAAGTAGCTGGGACCACAGGCGCCCGCCACAACGCCCGGCTATTTTTTGGTTGCAGGTTGCAGCCGTCATTGTTGTTTGGCGGGTCCGGGCTGGGGATTCGAACCCGCCACCTTAGGTGTACGTGGCTGGCGCCTTAGCCTGTTGAGCTATAGGCGCCGAGCCACGTTTCCTTCTTTATTTCCTCCTTGACTCTGCTATCATTCAGCAATAGGTTGTTTAGTCTCCATGATTTGAGGGAGAATGTTTCTGTTGGAATTCAGTTCTACTTTTATTCCATTGTGGCCCTTAAAGGTACAGGTATAATTTCTGTCTTTTTTAATTTGTTGAGATTTGATTTGTGACCTAGAATATGATCGATCTTAGAGGATGATTGATGAGCTGACAAGAAGAATGTATCTTCAGTAGTATGGGGGTGAAATACTGCCCCCATAGTTTATGTCTGCTAAGCCCAATGTTCTAATTTTGTATTTAGGTCCATCATTTCTCCACTTAGTTTTTTCTTGAAAGATTTCTTCAGTTCTGTTAGTGGGGTGTTGAAGTCCCTGGATATTATGGTATTGTTGTTTATCATACTGTTTAGACAGAGTAGGGTCTGCTTTATAAATATGTGAGTATTGAATTTGGGTGCATAAACATTTAGGATTAAAATGTCTTCTTGTGGGATAGTGTCCATCTTTGTATTTTCTTTACCTTTGTTGCTTTAAAGTCAATTGTGCCTGCAATTAGAATTACATCTCTCACTTTCTTTTGGTTTTCATTTCTATGAAATAATGTTTTCCAGCCCTTGACCTTGAGTCAGTTAAAGAATGGATTTCTCCATGGAATATGAAACTTAATTTTACAGGATATGGAATCTTAGGTTCACAGTTTTATTTAAGAAGATCGAAGGTAGAAGCCTACTCTCTTCTGGCTTATAAAGTTACTGCTGAGAAGCCAGTTCTTAAAACTGATGGCTTGCCATGGTAGATCAGCTGCTGCATACAACAGCTTGAAAATTTTCTTTTTAATTTTGAGTTTTGCCAAGTTAATTAAAATGTGTCATCCTGGCATTCAATATTCATCTGGTAGGTACGCGTCTGAATCTTTGGCAATGCTTGGGAAATACAATATCAACTAGAGCTTCCATGCTTTGGGTACTGTGTTCGTTAGTGATATCTATAATTTGTATGTTTGCAGACTTCACGCGGTCCTGTTACTTTCTAAGAAATTGCTCTACTTTTACTTTCTTCTTTTCTGCCTCTTCAAATGATTGGGTTAGCTTGAAAGCCTTGTCTTCAAGTTCTGAGATTCTTTCTTCTCCATAGTTTAAACTGTTGTTGAAACTGTCTACAATATTTTGAAACTCCCTGAATGCATCCTTCAATTCTTTAAGCTCTGTTATATCCTTTCTCATTTTGTCCAGATCCTTGGAGAGTTTGTCTTTAATGTCATTAATTTTTGGACTTCTTTTTTCTAATTTTCCACTTTCCGATCAATTTCCTTGATCATATTTGCCATCCATAATTTCAGTTACATTTTGTCATTTCCACTGTTTCATTATGGTTTGCAATCTTCTGGTAGTTTCATTTTGATCCCTTGGGGGAGCTGATCTGTTCTCGTTTTTTAGTGTAGCTGGAGGTTTTTTGTTTCTCCTCATGCATGGTTTCTTTTTCTTTATTTCCTCCCCCTACTTTCTTCTCTCTTTTCTTCCTTCCCTTCATTCCTCTTTAGGTCTGGGCTTTGTGTTAAAATGGCCTATTATCCTCTGAAGTATCCAACAGAGTTAAATTTTTGTTGTTGTTGTTGTTGTTGTTGAGACCAGTAGGTGGCACTCCATAATTATCAGAGACAGCCAGTTCTGAATGTTGAAATTCCCTGTCTGGAGTTTGGATTTCTTAATATTCATCAACTAGTTGTCAAAGAGGACAAAGTAGATTTCTTGTTCCTGTTCTTGAAGATCTGGGATTGGTGCCATAAGCCTAAAGGGTACTCTGGACATTGAAGGACATCACCAGCTACTTCTTACCTTTTCTGTTTTTGGTGTCCCCCACTGTCTTTCTGTGCCTTTACAACACTGTTTCTGATGTGGACAGTCCAGATGGCAGCCTACTTTCTGGGGAGCTGAGAGATGAAAGGTGCTGTTATACTTGACCCCACTTCTGACACTGCCACCTGTTTATTCGGGACCCCTTCTTTAAAGTTCAGCCATGGAGAACGTAGGCATCAGTTCTCCTACCCCTCACATGTCAGTGCACAGCAGCCAAGGAATCCTGTCAGCCTTCTGGAATCTCCACAGGCAGTGCCATTTCCCACTTCACCCAGTCAATATTGTCAGCCATTTGTGGAGGGGAGGGGCTACAAGGGCCTATTTTATTTTGGGTTTAATTATGTGTTTCTGATAATCAGTGAATTTGAACATGCTGATAATTTTGTTATTCTGATCTGATAGACTTTGTCTCTTATTTGGACTATTAATTTTGTTGCTTACATTTAATCTATTTATTAATAGGCTGTGTGTGGTGGCTTAGGTATGTAATTCCAGCACTTAAGAAAGTGGAAGCAGGAGGATTGTTGCTTGACACCAGGAGTTTGAGACCATCCTGTACAACGTAGCAAGACTCTGTCTCTATCAAAAACTAAGACAGAATCTTAGTTTGTCTCCCTAGGTCAGCAGTTCTCAACCTGTGGGTCGAGACCCACAGGAACTGTATTAAAGGACTGTGGCATTAGGAAGGTTGAGAACCACTGCCGTAGGTAGAGTGCTGTTGTGTCACAGCTCACAGCAACCTTAAACTCTTGGGCTTAAGCGATTCTCTTGCCTCAGCCTCCCAGGTAGCTGGGACAACAGGCACCCACCACCAAGCCTGGCTATTTTTTTGTTATTGTTGCAGTTGTCATTGTTTAGCAGACCTGGGCCAGGTTCAAACACCTGCCAGCCTTGGTGTGTGTGGCTGGCGCCCTACCCACTGGGCTACCGGCACTGCCCTACCATAAACATTTTAATATTTTTCTTAGTCCTCCTCATTCTGAGGAAGTTACATGAGTTTGTGTTCTCATTTCTCTTTTGGTATCATATAGTTTCATTCACTTCGATGTTCCGCAGTCTCTTACTTAGATTGCTTTTACTGGCCATAGAAGGGCTCTCCTGGCATCTTCTATGAGGAACTGTATTTATTCTTGGATAAACTTAAGGCATTTTTACTAGTACGTTTGAATTTGTATAAACTTGTATACTATAAATTCTTATAGTATATATAAGAATTTTTCTCTTCTTAGAAACAGTGAATGGAAAACTGCAAGCATGTATGGTATGCTGCTTTCATAGCTCTTCCAACCTTACCTCCTGCCCTCTGCTAACTTCCTACAAACCCCAGAAATAAAGCACTGTCCCTTGTCAATTTCCACCTGTAAATGTATTCCATTATTCAGATTATAGCCTCAAAAAAGTGGGAGAATGAATAAGGGGTAACAATAGCTCCTGCTGTTGTCATAGGCATTTCCTCACCAGAGGAAATGAGTCTCCTCTTTCTGGTTAACAAAAGTCTGAGATAGCTCAGTGAGTGGGACACCAGCCACATACACTGAGGCTGGCAGGTTCGAACCTGGCCCAGACCTGCTAAACAACAATGACAACTGCAACCAAAAATAGCCAGGCATTGTAGCAGACGCCTGTAGTCCCAGCTACTTGGGAGGCTGAGGTAAGAGAATTGCTTAAGCCCAAGAGTTTGAGGTTGCTGTGAGCTATGATGCCAGAGCACTCTACTGAGGGCAACATAGTGACACTCTATCTCAAAACAAAAAAAAGAAGTCTGAGGTACTGGGGCACTCAAGATAGAAAGAAAATTCCAGAGGTGTTTCTGTTAATCTCAGAATATCAGCTAGGCTTCCTATTAATGATTTTAACACTTAATATTCTCTTAGGTTAACCTCAAATAGATTTATCAAAACTTTCAATATATGCTAAATTATAAATACTAAGTGCTAAGATTTTTTTTCTTCTAGAAAATCTTCTAGATTTGAATTTACATTTTTAAGTGGAGTATAAAAAGTCAGGAATTCAAATTACTTTCACTGAGGTTTGTATTTTTATTTATATAGGTCCTGCTCAGTCTGGAATTTTGTCAGATCGTGAAGTTGTGAATCTCTTTCTTCATTTTACTGTAAATCCTAAACCCCGAGTTGAATACATTGACCGCCCGAGGTGCTGCCTCAGAGGAAAGGAATGTTGTATTAACAGGTTTCAGCAAGTAGAGAGCCGCTGGGGGTACAGTGGGACAAGTGACCGAATCAGGTATCTGTTGTGTTTTGGACTTGGGGATGGAATGGGGGTAGTAGTTAGCATTTGGCCTTTATCCTCATATTGTGGTGATTGACCAACATTTTGTTTTATACTGTGTTTAATAAATTTTTAAAGTTAGTACAAGCGTCAAGTCACTATGGCATCCTGGGAAGAAAGTAAAAAGGTCTTTCTTCTCTTTTGCAAATTCTGCTGAGGTCACCACTGGTGAGCTGAGTTCTAGATCTTATTTAATCAAACACCATTTTTACAGGCTTAGGGCTAAAATTTAAATAAATTTATCCTCACTATGTTTAGTGTTAACTATTTCTTTGCATAGCTATTGCATAGTAAATATCTCACTGTACATTTATAAAAGCTTTGACTGAAGAAAAAATTAAAAATCTTCAAAAATGCATGCATATAATTCTGTTGAAATTTATCTTTAGTATGTTTCTGTAAGTTAACTGTCAAAACAGAACTGGTACTGGATTTCATAAAACATGCCTTTTGGATTTCAATTATTTAATACCATTTTAGTATAAAACTAGAAATAAAGTCTTGGAGCCCATTGTTCAGTGGTTAGGACACTGGTCACATGCACCAAGGCTGGTGAGTTGGAACCCGGCCAGGGCTTGCTAAACAACAATGACAACAATAACAAAAAAACAGCTGGGTATTGTAGCAGGTGCCTATAGTCCCAGCTGTTGGGAGGCAGAGGCAAGAGAATTGCTTAAGCCCAAGAATTTCAGATTGCTGTGATCTGTGATGCCAAGGGCAACATAGTGAAACTCTGTCTCCAGAGGAAAAAAAAAAAACTAGAAATAAAGAACAAGTTGTTAAAATTAGAGCTCTGGTTGGGTGAAAGATTATTATAAATCTTGGGTTCAAATGGAAAATAAAAATGCATTTGTAAAATATTTAATAATTATTCATAATAAGAATAGTATATATATAAAAACTTACAGAATGAGGACCAAAAGTTATATACAAAGAAAAGTAATAATTAACTAATTTCAGTAAATAGAATAGAAATAAATGATTTAGGCATTGAACCTGAGTAGCTAGAAAATGAGTAGGAAAAGAATGAGAAGAAAAGAGAAATAGATAAATGTAGAAATTAATGAATTAAAAATAGAATTGATAAATCGATAAAAAGACCAATAAAGGCTTGGCCCCTGTAGCTCGGTGGCTAGGGCAGCAGCCACATACACTGGAGCTGGCTGGTTTGAACCTGGCCCTGGCCTGCCAAACAACAATGACAACTACAATAAAAAAAAAAAAAAATAGCCAGGCGTAGTGGTGGGTACCTGTAGTCCCAGCTACTTGGGAGGCTGAGGCAAGAGAATTGCTTAAGCCCAAGAGTTTGAGGTTGCTGTGAGCTGTGACGTCACCGCACTCTACCAAGAGCAACTTAGTAAGACTCTGTCTCAAAAAATATATAAAAACAAAATAAGACCAATAACATCAGTAAATCTTTGGCAAAGGTAAACATTTACATTTAGAAATAAACATGGGAATATAACCATATGCTGAGATTTTTATTTTAATTCTGGGTTTACTCTGTGCTAATAAATTGAACATCTTGATTGGAATGGATCATTTTATAGGCAAATATAAATTATCAAAATTGACTGAAGAAGAAAGCCTGAATAGACCAATTACCATGGAAGGAATTAAAAGTTATCAAAGAACTATCCCTTCACAAGGTGGTTTTTACAGGTGAGTTTTATCAAATCTTCAAGGAACACATAGTTTCCATGAGCATTAAAAGAAGATACTTGGTTAATTAGTGAAGGAAGCATAACCCTTATATAGGAATCTGACAAGACAAAAACTATTCTAGATCAACCTCACTTAAAATGTAGAAGAAGAAATTCTATGTAAAATATTTCCATGTAGAATCTACCACTACTTTACAGAATAATACTCTATGAGCATATAAAGTTTATGTGAAGATTGAAAGAATGGCTTAATTTAGGAAAAATGTATTAATATATAATTCATCACAGTCTAGATCAAAGGAAAAAAAGATTTGATTTCAATAGACCTCAAAAAGGCTTTTGATAAAATTTCACCTTTTATTCTAGATATAATTGTTAATAGATTAAGTCTAGAAGAATACTTTAATATCAAGATAGGGGTGCCTTTCATCCTTGCTGTTCTTCAGGAGTGTTATAATTCTGATCAACATAGTTATAAAGGGCAAAGAAATTAGAGACTACAGCATGGGGAAGGAAGAGGCCTTGTTATTTGTTTATGACATTATGTACTTTGATAGTTCACAACTCAATCAAACCCGCTTTTCCCTTTTTTCTAATAAATATTTTCTGATTTCCATTTTACTAACTTGAAATGAAATGGATAGATAATACACTTCACGTGTGTGTGTGTGTATATAAATATATATATATATTTTTTTTGAGATGGAGTCTATATTGCCCTCAGTAGAGTGCTGTGGCATCACAGCTCACAGCAACCTCAAACTCTGGGCTTAAGAGTAGCTGGGACTGCAGGCACCTGCCATAACACCTGACTATTTTTTGGTTGCAGTTGTCATTGTCATTTAGCAGGCCCAGGCTGGGCTCAAACCCACCAGCTTCAGTGTATGTGGCTGGTGCCCTACTCACTGAGTTACAGGCACCAAGCCCACATGTATTTTCTTAATGGCCTAGTTGTAATGTAAAGAAGAAATAAATGTAACTGATAGTAAAATAAAATATGCAGTTCAAAATGTAGACTTTGGGCTGGCTGTAGTGGCTCACACTCATAAATCTAAGAACTTTGGGAGACCGCAGCAGGAGGATTGCTTAAGGCCAGGAGTTCAAGACCACCCTGAGCAACATAGCAAGACTCCATCCCTTAAAATAACAATTTAAAAATTAGGCAGGCATGGTGGTATACACCTGTAGTCCTAGCTACTTAGGAAGCTGACACAGGAAAATTGAGCTCAGGAGTTTGAGGTTGTGGGGAGCTATGATCATGGCACTGCATTTCAGCCTGGGTGACAGAGAGAAGCCCCTGTCTCATTAACAAAAAAAGAAAAAAGTAGACCTTGGGCAGGATAACTGCTGAAAACAAACTGCCTAGTCAGATGCAGGACATAGATTCTTCAGCAAGATGAGACAGTTGTACTTGTAGGGTACAGGCAAATTATATTAATATCTTAAATACTGTCAGCAGTAAGTCATGTCATTTACTTTAAAGGTTGCAGATAAAACAGTATGTATAGTTGGTCTTACTCATGGTGTTTGCATTTGTGAACTTGCCTACATGCTGAAATTTATTTGTAAACCCCCAAATCAATACAAGGCGTGCTTTCTTAGGCATTTTCAGCAAAAGACTTACGTTGTCAGATCAACATATTCCCACCTGAAGTTGAACAAAATGAGGCTCTGCCTTCCCATTCCAGCCCTCCTACAGAGGTGGGCGAGGTGAGGGGGGCAGTGCACTGTAGCATAAGAAACTCCAGTTTCTGGGTGGGCTGGACAAGAATAGCTCTGGCACCTGTTAGTGGGGCAGCCTTAGGGAAGTAACTTAACACTTCTGAACTCTGTTTTCTCTTTTATAAAATAAAGAAAATAGAATATATTAGGATGAGTTGGTTTTAGGATTTAAGATTATAATTTATGTGATAGAGGTGTATTTGCTTTCATATATTCTCCCTGGGAGCAATGGTTTAGTATCTTGCTAATTCTGTGTTATAGAATATAACTATCACAAATAATGAAAATTCTGTATTTCTTCTGTTTATGTGGTAGTTGGTAGTTGCTTCTTGTACAAGTTAGTGAATATTAAAATTGCACTAAATCTTAGGTTTCTGAATAAAATGGAATTAGGTTCAAGGCTTGTAGTTATGAAGAGATTTTTTTCATATATATGAATTCTGGCAAGATACTTAAAAGTTGGCCGAGATTCTTTGTTATGGGTGACTATTCTATCCACTGGGAAGCCTTCGGACTTCCACAGGCTGATTTTGTGAGGACTTTTATTTATTTATTTTTTTAGAGACAGAGTCTCACTTTGTCAACCACAGTAGAGTGCAACAGCTCACAGCTCCAGCTCTTGGGCTTAGGCAATTCTCTTGCCTCAGCCTCCCGAGTAGCTGGGACTACAGGCACCTGCCATAGTGCTCGGCTGTTTTTTGTTGCAGTTTGGCCAGAGCTGGGTTCAAACCCGCCACCCTCGGTATATGGGGCCGGTGCCCTACTCACTGAGCCACAGGGCCCACCCTTGTGAGGACTTTTAGTTTTTTATCTGTGGTGTGGATATTACAAAAAATATGTGTGGACCTTTTTTTGGTTTTGTTTTTATTTTTTTGTTTGTTTTTCTGTATGTGCACCAAGCAGATGTGAATGTGCTTAATGCCAGGCTTCCACAGCCACAGGCTGATTTTGTGAGGACTTTTAGTTTCTTAGCCATGGTGTGGATATCACAAAAAATATTTTTTTTGTTTATTTGTTCTCTGCTAATCACCTGTCCTGAAGTGTTTGTGTATTTAATGTAAGGCAACTCTTATTCTTCCAATGTAAGGCAGAGAATTTTAAAAAAGGGTTGGACAGGCCTGCATCATAAGCAATCTAATACCCTTGGCTCCTTGCCAACACTGTCTCTAAACCTTTGTTAACATAGAGCATCCCTTTTTGAGGGAAGAACTCCTTTTGAGAACAACTAGCCCACCTAAATAACCTCAGTATCAGCTAAGACACTATCAGAACCAATAAAAGAAAATAGTGGCCACTTATAAAAATATGTCTGAAAACCATTGGTATTCCTTTATGTTATCAAAAAATTCACTTGCAGGCTCAGTGCCTATGGCTCAAGTGGCTAAGGCGCCAGCCACATACACCTAAGGTGGCGGGTTCGAATCCAGCCCGGG